CCACTGCTGCCACTCTGCAAACAGCAGCGCTGTAAGGTTTCAGCCAGAAGCTGGTGGAAAGGTCTGCTGGAAGTGCTGCATTCCAGCTGACTCCCCTCGGGCCATCAAACTCCCCTGCTTTTCATTCCATTTATCAGGGTCTGCTGTTCACTTTTTTCCCTGCAACTTACAGTCAAAACCCATGCTGCTTCCTTAGTGTCTTGGCAGATTATTGCTACCTCCTCTCTGCCCCTGTGGTGTTGAGTTCTGGGGGTACACTTAGTGTGTGGAAGAGATCCTATATACAGATACGTCATGGGGCACATGCCTGGTGAGGAGAGGCTGAGGGAACGGGGCTTATTTACTGTGGAGAAAAGAAGACTGAGGGGGATTGAATAGCAGCCTTCACCTCCCTGCAGAGGGGTTGCGAAGAGGACGGAGCTGGACTGGTCTCAGTGGGGGCAGTTGACAGGGCAAGGAGCAATTGCCTCAGGCTGCAGCCAGGGAAGTTGAGGTTGGAAATTAGGAAAAACTTTCTCACTTGGAGGTGGTGAAGCACTGGAACAGGTTCCCCAGAGAGGTGGTGAAATCTCTGTCCTTGGAGGTTTTCAGGCTCAGCTGGACAAAGCACTGGCTGGGATGATGTAGTTGGGGCTGGTCCTGCTGTGAGCAGAGGGTTGGACTAGATGTGACCTCCTGAGGTCCCTTCAACCCTCATTTTCTATGATTCCCTGATAAGGTTTGTGAGTAGCCTCGGTTATTTCCATACTTGTTAATACTTCATGCCCCAAAGAAAACAGCAAGGAGCTCCGGAGACCCTGGCTCTGTTTCCTGTTTGACCTTGGATGAATTGGTGGAAATTGCAGCACAATCTCAACAGGGGGTAACAGATCTTCCCCACTTTGCAAGAGGCACTCATGTACCACATCAACAGATAAGCTGGACAAATCAGAGAGGAAGTGAGGATTTGGCCAAACACCTGTGCAAATCCCTGTGCCGACACAGTCAGCCTTTATGGACAAAATGGTTTGTTTTCATCGGGTTTGGCTCCTTTGGTGCTACTTTAAAGGCAAAAGGAAACAAAACTGTAGCTACTCATTACATTATCTTTAGAGAGATTTGACAGGTTGCTTTCAAACAGGCTTACTATGAAGAACCTCAAAATAGCCCCCTTATGCACAAATGTGGGTGCTTACACTGCCAGCTGCAGTGCAAACAAGTGAGCTGCCACCAGAGTATTTCCCTGTGCAGGGGAGGTTTCTAGTGGCTCCTGGCTCTAAGGCACCCGGCCAATTTTCCTCATGCTTTGAAGAAATGATTTCCTTTACCTTCACCTGGTGACATTCAAGTCAAAAAGTAAAGGTGAGGGGGAAGCAAGACTAAAGGAGTCCCATTAGCCTGAGTGAGAGAAGTGAAAAGCCAAAGTCATATCTGATCCCTTGGGTTCAGGTCTGATCACCTGTCCGGGGTGTTTAGTGCTGTATCTCAATACAACAACCCGAATAGAGCTGTACATTCTGTGTTCATGCAAAGCTCTCCCAGAAGCATGTGGCATAAAGTAAGTGGTTGGAGTGAGAACACAGCAGGTTTTGCCAGTTTCTGTTTTCTTTGTGAGAGTCTCTGCTCCACAACCCTGAGGTCAGGAGGGGCCTCCCGTGCCAGGTGCCACATGCCCTGTGTATCTACAACTCAGCTGCACTCAGCTCAAGGGTGACCTCAGCCGGTTGAAAGTGACCTTGAATAAAGCCGACATAGTGCTGGCAGGTGACAGGCAGCATTCAGAGGAGTCCAGGTTCAGCACAACCTCCCACGCTGGCCCATCGGCTCACAGCACAGCAGGACTTCTGGCAGTCTCAGGAACACCCCTTCTGCGTTGCATCTGTGAGCAACGGTTTCTATCACTTCCGGTTGCTCAGGATACTCCAGCTGCACTGGCATCAGTTACTCACACCCATGGCACTTCCCAGCTGGATGCCAGTGATGCAACAAGCTCAGGCACGATCTCTGTGTTTGCTAACCATTGCAGCCCACCTCCTTGCCAACAGTCTACTGCAGGGCTTCTCAACCAAGGTGTCACAGCACCCTGGGCAGGGGACACAAGGTCCTTTGAAGGGTGCTGTGCACTATTAGCATTACGTGACTCACAAGACCAACCCAGAGATTTCAGATAAAACATTCTGCCCCGGTGCGGGCTCCCTTGGCTCTTCTCAGTAGGATTGTTCTAGTATTGACTGTTCCCATAGCTAAGACATGTGAAAGCTAAGAACTGGCATCTACAAGGGGAGTCTAAATGCAAAAAGGCTGGGAACCACTGGTTTGCTGTGAACACATTCAATCTCCCCTCCCCTCGCGGAATAGCCATTCAAACCCATTTTCACAACACTCAGCGAGCCAGGCTCAGGCTACCCACACTGCCTCCAGCTCTGGGATGAGACTGTGGCCAAACAACTTCCCTCCTCTCCATGGTGGGGAGAAAGCTGGTTTGTACAGGGGACAGTCAAGGCTACAAACAAGCACAGAAGCTAGTGACTGCTTCAGACCTCAACACTTCCCACATTTCTTTTCCCTTACCTTCACTAACACGTGTATTTGAGAGGCACGACAGCACACACAGGTTCCCTCAAGAGAAGGCAAGAGCATGACAGATGTCAGTCACATTGTGGGATGCAGGCCAGGAGACGCTCAGGGCTTCATGATGAGCACAGCGCTCAGACACCTGAGAAAGAGCCCCCGTGTCAAGCTAAGGGAAAATGATTCCTCCTTACTTAGGTGCTTTCCATTCTAAAAGCCACCAGCCCACTTCCCGCATATAGGCCTCAACCCTTCCTGGCCAGTGATGGCTTCCTCGTGCTAGACCCTCCTGAGTTGTCATTGCTGTATCTGTTTGTTAATGAGCTTCCAGCTTTGTCTTCTCTCCTCTTCTGAAACCTGGGTAACTACCTGTGGAAATCCTGCTTCCAAGGCAGTGACCTGCACTTGAGACACGAGGACGGCCTCAGTGCATGCGGGTTTAGACTGCCTTACAGGAGATGGTAGCCTGTTTGTACATCTCTTCTGCGTTCACAAGATTAATTTTAAATGCATGCGTTCAGCTTCCTGCTTTGCACTCACTCAGTGATTAAACAGCTATGCATACGGGAAAGGGTGATCCAGTGTTTCCTTAGCTCTTCAGGCTAGGGTAGTACATCACTGTTTACATGAAAGGACACTACAGTGAAGACCCAACGACATTTACTCTGGTCATTGTAGGTGGCTTTAGTGACAGTAAAATTCATTTCCAGACTGTGTAAATCAACCTTAGAAGGTTCCTTTTCCTGAACAGTACTGCTCTTACTCAAATCTAAGATGACCCCCACCTTCCCTTCAATTCAAGTGCAGGCCAGGCAAGCAGCTACTGCAGCTCTGGATGGGATCAGAGTGGCCCATGTGGTGGGGAAATGGTGCATGGAATAGGGGGAGCATGGAGGAAGGGGGTGCATAGTGCAGGGGGGAGTGCAGGAGAAGGCCACCACTACTTCCTGGCCTGGTGCTCCATGTGCCCAGCAGATACAGAGCCAGAGCAGCTGCAAAAGCAAGCAGCTGATGGTAGGGGAGCAGGCACAAGAGGGGGACAAGTGGCAGGGAGATTGGGGGGAAGATGCTGGGGTGGTAGGGCAGACAAAGGGTATGGGACAGGCTGCCTGCCCCCCACCCCCAGCCACTGCTTTTCCTGTGGCAGTGCTGAATGAATTTAAAGGGATCCTCCAATCACTAGATTCTAGACCTGGGAAACTGAAACATTTATAATCCTCAGAATAATCTAGAGCCTGGTTATGGGGGGTTGTCTTAAATTCAAAGTCATTTTAGTTTTGAGGGGAAAATAGAAAAGCTGTATTTACCTGAACCTGACTGACACTGCCATTTCTTGTAGCTGATGAGTCAGTAAGCTTGCTTTGACATGTACTTCTGCTGGGAGAACTTGGCATAAGCTTGAGGACAGAATGGTCTGAAATCCCAGAAGTGCCAAGGTAGAGGTGCGATGCAGTGATAACAGATATAAAGGGGAGTACTGACACATCCCTGTTTTCTGTGAATTTTCTGCCCTCACCAGTCAGATGCTGCTTTCCACCTGGTAACTTGTAGGTCACTCTACTCTGTAGTGTAACTTGTAGGTCACTCTGGCAAGGAGCTCTTTATTTGCTTGAACCTGTGACTCCCACATTTTCCCATTCACTCTACATGCAGTTGCCATCATGACAGCTTACCTCAATGTGGAAAGACACGAACTATACAATCCAGCCTAAGGTAGTCATTCGAATCAGTGTCGAATCAAACAGGCCCCAGCCCTGTCAATGGCTGCCCTGCCTAGCCCCAGCATCCTGGCACTTTAAAAGAGGGGGGCAGAGGGGCACAATCCCTGCTGCCCCGCACTGTGTAGGGGCTCTGCCACGAACCCCCAGAGGCCCTGATGGCCACTGCAGCAGTTGGTGAGTGCAGGGCTTTTTAAAAAAAAAAAGAGTCGGGATGCTGGGGCCAGGCAGGCCAGCTATCGACAGGGCTGGGAGAGCAGGCAGGGGATGGGGTCTGGCAGGGGTCCCCCCATAGTCCAACTCCTCCAGCTCCCGCCCCCTACTTACCAGCACAGAGCCCGGGTCCAGCTCCCTGAGGCAGCAAGCGGGGACTGCCTGAATCGCCGAATCTCTCTGAATCGATTTGGAGAGCTTTGAATTGATTTGGACCTTTTTATTGGTTTCCTAATTCAATTCAGACTTAGAGATTCAGCTGCCAAATTGGGCCCATCTCCTCCAAATCGAATCAGTACCCGAAGCTTCACACAGCCCTACTATTCAAGACACTCTTTTATTTAGTATTTCAGCCACTGTCCAGCATCAAGACAATTAACAATACTGAGTCTCTCTAAACACATCATTATCTTGGCCAGTACACGACCCTGGAGCTAGGCCGTGGAAAACACTGGGAAATGGAAATAAATAAAAATACAATTGCAACTTCACTCAAGGTTTGTATGAATTCACATGTACAAGTGGAAGAACTTCAGTGTTTAATAAATGAAGTAATCACATCATGGGCATTTTAAAACAAAATCCTTAAAAACAGCTGTGATGCTTAGAAAGTAACAGGAAATACTGTTTAGGTTGTGACTGCGGAACCAATTTCTTTCAAATGACAAAGTTATAAAAACATACAAATAGTTGGTCTGATAGAAACACAGCACTGCTGCACCCAAAGTTGAGCATGTGTGCCCAGAATTCTTGCCTGGAACTAAAGTGTTTTCATTTCAGTCCACAGCATAAGCATAAGGAGAAAACACCTGTGAAGCTTTGGACAACACAAAAAAGCCAAAATACATTCTTAAGAAGTTCCAAACTGAGAGCTATCTTGTCCTTTGCAGTGAAGTGTAAGTATTTAAGACTCATGAAATGTGAGAGGACAGACAGACCACAGCAGGTTTATAGTGAGAAGGCTTTATAAGTCTGAGAGAGTCGACCATTTGTAGCACGCTCAATGGTTTGTCTCCGTGTCGTAACAGCCGACGTGGATAACCCAGCAGCAGTTGGTTTCTGAGTCCTCCAGCACTGAATAAAGTTTCCACAGAGCTTCTGTTGCTCCTACAAGGTCACCTACTGCTTAGTAGGTATCTATCCAGGAACTGGGAATAACAAGTTAGGGAGCAAAAGTAGCAGATAATGGGTGCCTCTGTACCTCCCATGTTATCCACAAGGACCACAGTATGAGCTACGTGATGGAGATTCATGGTCACAGTTGTTTGAATGAAGCTTGCTAGACAAGCACTTCCACACTGACATGTTTTAGCCACTTCCAAGTCTTCACAGAGGTGGGAAGGAAGGAGATGATGACCATATGGGATTCTGTTGGGAAAGATAACCATGCATGAAACAATGCAAAATGAACCCACACCAGCCAGGTTCATTACAGCAGTAAAAAACAAACAAACAGAATAACCAGCCCTCAGCAAGAGGAAACAGCAGTGCAAGTTTGGATACCCTCTCTCGTTGTACACAAAGCTCAATGACTGTTCTGGACCGCTGAGGAGGAGGAATTACCTGCTGTTCTTCTCCAACGTAGAAGTAAACAGTGGGGTCACATTCCTGGCTGTCTGATGAAGACTCAGGAACCTAGCCCCAGAGACGCATCAAAACAACAGCCACGGGGTCATGCTGGATGAAAAGCCCAATTAACTGGTAGGGCAGAGACACAGGAGGAAGACTGACAGATGAATTCAACGACTAGGCCACCCATCTGCCTTTGCAGTCAGATCTCTATGCGACTTCTCCCTTGCAATCCAGCCCTAACACTCAGAGGTGTCAGCATCTAACACAGGGGTGGGAAAAGTGGTGGATCAGCTGGCAGCCAGACTCCATTTCCCAGCACTCCCTGCCCACGTGGCTGTGGCTAGTTTCCATGGAGACCCCAGTAGCAGCTATGCTGATAACATGGAGCCAGGGTTTCTGTGGAAACCGTCTGCAGCAGCGCTGGCAGTGTGCACAGCAGGGTGCGGGGCTGCTCCACAGCTGGGCTGGGATCTTGCGACAGTGACAGCATGGTCCAGAGCCAGGGAAGAGCCGCAATCCACTGGCTGCATGCCCCTACCTGGAGCATACAGGCTGCAGATTGCGATTCTGCCCCAGCTCTGGACCATGCTATCACTGCTACAAGATCCCAGCCCAGCTGCGGAGCAGCTCTGCACC